TCCTGCACCCTGCCCTCCCTTCCCACTCTCTCAGGTCAGCTCTGGGTCTCTGACAGGTGATCCACAACATGACCTCTGAGTTCTTCGCTAACCAGCTCCGAGCCCGTATCTCTGATGACACCACTCATCCAGCCTCCTACTATGAACCTGAATTCTACACTCCTGATGATGGAGGCACTGCTCACCTGTCTGTGGTTTCAGAGGACGGCAGTGCTGTGTCTGCCACTAGCACCATCAACCTCTAGTAGGGGCTGTGGGGCTATAAGGAGGGGCAGAGCTGGGGGTGGGGATTGAGCCAGGGGCTGCCTGTATATCCCATAACTGGGGCTCCCACTTTTATATTGGGAAATAGAGACCCCACCTGGTGGCATGCCCTAGCTGGGCCTCATAGGAAGCAAGCCTGGGCTGGGGTGGGTGGACAGGAATCTGGCAGGGCCTGGCCAGGCTGGGCATAGCTCTCTGACCTGGCCCATTGGCAGCTTTGGCTCCAGGATCCTTTCTCCAGTTAGCGGCATCCTGTTCAACAATGAGATGGATGACTTCAGTTCCCCCAACTTCATCAACCAGTTTGGGGTGCCTCCCTCACCAGCCAACTTCATCAAGCCAGGTACAGCGAGGAGATCCTGAGGCAGGGGATTTAGGTTGGGAGAGAGTTGGTATCCCGGACACCAGCTGACCACTATATCTGTCCCCTCCTGTGGGCCACAGGGAAGCAGCCACTCTCATCTATGTGTCCGTCGATCATCGTGGGTCAGGATGGCAAGGTCCAGATGGTGGTGGGAGCCTCTGGGGGCACGCAGATTACCACGTCCACTGCATTGGTATGTGCTACCTACTCACCCTCCCTAACCCTGTGCCTGGACCAAGCTCACACTTTACCAATTCCCTCACCCCCAGGCCATCATCCACAGCCTCTGGTTTGGCTATGATGTGAAGCGGGCCGTGGAGGAGCCCCGGTTGCACAATCAGCTTCTGCCCAACACCACAACGCTGGAGAAAGACTTTGATCAGGTGGGCTGGGGGTTGGGGAAACTGAGTCACTGTGTGGAATCACAGGGCATTCTGGGCTGGAGGCCTGCATCTTCTGAGTGGACAGTGGTGGGTGTCCGCTGCCCAGGGCAGATGGTCCTCACACCTGCTACCTGGGTCGTCCTGAGCCCTTATGTAATGAGAGCTAAGCCACCCGTTCTAACAAGACCTCATGGGCTGAGGTATCCCCCCATAACTTGCTCTTCTTGGTCACTTGGCTGGAAATGGCACCATCTGGCCCTGTGAGGCCCATGACCACACAGGAGTGGTTCAGATTACATCTGGGACCCTGATGAGGTCTCCCTTTCCCCTCTTCTCTGCAGGCGGTGGCTGCAGGGTTGAAAACCCGGCACCACCAAACCGAAGTCGCTTCCACCTTCATCGCTGTGATCCAGGCCATTGTCCGCACAACCAGTGGCTGGGCAGCTGCTTCAGACTCCAGAAAAGGCGGGGAGCCAGCTGGCTACTGAGTGCTTGAGATGGGCAAGACTGACCAGCAACCCAGGAACAAGATATTCACCAGAGCCAAGAGTGGGACTTTGGAGGGGACGTACTCTCCCTAGGAGTGACAGAGCAATGCAATAAATGGGGGCTCTGTGCCAGGCTGTGGGCAGGCAGCCTTGCTGGCCGGGCTCCCCACTGCCTGGGTCTCGGTGTCTTTTGTGTGAAAATGGAGCCATCTAGCTGGAGGAGAATGAACAGACAGGATCTGGAGGTCTTTGCACTGCAGGTTGTGGAATGAACCTCAGCTGTTTTTTGTTTTTCTTCAGTGCTGGGAATTGGACTCAGGGCTGTTCTACTGCTGAGCTACCATCTCAGCCTTTTAAAATTAATTTTTTTTGAAGTACTGGTAATTGAACACAAAGTGGCACTCTGCCATTATATGTTATATCCCCAGTCTGTTTCTAGTTTTGTTTTGAGATAGGGTATAATTTGCCCAGGCTGGCCAGGGAGCTAAGCCACCTGTTCTAACAAGACCTCATGGGCTGAGGTATCCCCGCAACTTGCTCTTCCCTGGTCACTTGGCTGGAAATGGCACCATCTGGCCCTGTGAGGCCCATGACCACACAGGAGTGGTTCAGATTACATCTGGGACCCTGATGAGGTCCTCCCTTTCCCCTCTTCTCTGCAAGGCGGTGGCTGCAGGGTTGAATACCTGGCACCGCCAAACCGAAGTCACTTCCACCTTCATTGCTGTGGATCCTCCTGCCTCAGCCTCAGCCTCTGAGTAGCTGGGATTACAGCTGTGCCACTGTGCCTAGTAGCCTTTTTTTTTTTTAATGGACACAACACCTTTAATTAATTAATTAATTTGTTTTTATGTGCTGCTGAGGTTCGAACCCAGTGCCTCATACATGCTAGGCAAGCGCTCTACCACTGAGCCCCAGCCCCAGCCCTCAGCCTGTTTTTTAGTAGGAGGAGAACCTGATGGGTGGGTAAGTGGAAGAGCAAGAGGCAGTCCCTTATCAAACACGGTCTTTTCCCATCTTGAGTCCCCAGGATTAGAGGCCATTCGTCCCCTTCCTTGGGGCGGGGCAGTGGAGAGCAACACTTCCTAGTGTTGACCACAGTGGGGAGCCCTGGTTCTGACATCAACTTGGGCAAAGGGCCCCTGCAGGCGACAGGAGTGTGGGTTCTTTCTCTTCCAACTCTAACGTGTCTGGGCTCACCCTGCCCAGGACACTGGGAGGTGAAACTCTGACCTGAGGAACAGGGACTGGGCAAGAAACTGAAACAAAACATCTTGGTCAGGGCCATGCCCAGGGTCACTTTTCAAGTACAACCCAGAGTCAAACCCAAGCTTGTGATCAGCTCCAGAAAAAGACTCAGTTCTCTGGGAATGGAAAGCTGGAGGAGACCCCCAGGTCTCTGAAGGGAAGGTGGCCCAGAGAAGGTGGGTTGTGAATGGCTATTGCTGGGCACAGCTTCCCTCCCCAGGGTCCAGCCCCTCTAGCCCTCCCTCAAGGTCTTTTGATTTGTCCTTCATACAGTTGTAGGTGAGGAGCTGATGAAGGCTCCTGGAGATGGGCTGGGAAGGGAGTCACAGCCTGATAACCAGATGTAACCCCAATCTGTGAGCCCAAGTAGGGGGGGCCCTGAGGGCAGGAGCACAGGGGCTAGAAGAGGGACCAGGGTAAGTAAGCTACATCTGGGCTCTTCTTTAGGGCTGGAAAACTTAGTGCTTCCAAAGTGCCCACCTGGAAAGGGGTTTTGTGCTTGCAGGCTATATTCTAGGTCTGTGACTGAGCCTTAGAGGTTTCTATCTCTGGGGTTCCCTGGGAAAGAGATGGAGGTGGGTAATCAGGTGTGGCAGTCATTCCTCAATCCTTATTTTAGTCTGAGAGGAAAGGCCATGACCTCATTTTCAGAGGAAAAGATTGAGGCCTGAGGAGTGGGCCTTGCTCAAGGTTGCACAGCCAAGAGGGAGCAGGAGGCTGTCATGAAACTCCCTGAGCCATAACATGCTGGAGGCATATCCAGGTTCTCCAAGGCTATGGGCTTATCCCAGGGCTACTTTGGGTCTGATTCACCTCTCTTCCCTACCATCCCATCCCCTGTCATTTCCTGGATAAGGACATTCAGGGACCATCCCAGCTGAGCCTCCCCAGCTGAGTCCCTGGCCAGGCCCAGCATGACAACAGACCCTTTCCCTAGGTCTCTTCTCTGGCTGTCTCTGCACTCTGGCCTCTGCCTAACCAGGATGGCTGGGGAGAGAAGCAGGGATGCCTCGCCCCTTGACCCTGCTGTCCTTGTTGTTCCCTATGTGGCGGGTGGGTGGGCTGGCTCCCATCCAGGAATGTACTTTGGTTCCCAGTTGAGCAATGTCACTGCAGAGTGGAGGTCATCTGGGGGTCGGAAGAGGCTCCCACAGCCCACCCCTCCTTGAGGCAACTGTGGGAACAGACCTACAGGAAACAGCCACTCTGGCCCAGGCTGACCAGGGGCTCTGGACACAGTGGGGCTGATAGGCTGTGACCTGTGCTGACATTGTCCTCTGGGCCTCATTTCTTGGCTATACTGGAAGGTGGGCTCTGACTCCATGTAGTCAGATGGAAAAGGAGAAGGGAGCCATGGGGACTGTTGGGTGGAAGTCCAGCTCATGACCTTTGGGCCCTGATCTCCTGTTAAGCCTGGTCAAATATGGACCTCAGTGAGTGCTCACTCCCCCCCCTGCCCACTGCTTCCCAGTTGGACACCCTGGGGTCTGGGGAGAACAGGAGCCAGGCCAGTGTCCCCAAGGAAGAGGAACTGTCAGTACAGGAATAGACTTGAGCACCTATAGACTCAGGGAGGCAGACATGCGACCACAGAGGGGCTGAGCTGCAGAGGAAGTGCAGGGGTCCAGGGAGGGCAGCCTCACTCCCTGGAGGCCTAAGGCTGCATTTCTAGGACAGCTGTTCCCAGGGATAGGTGGTCTAGTGGCACTGGGTGCTATAGTTGGACACATGGCCTGTCTCCATCCCCTGCCCTGTGGGTGACACCCTGGGCCAAGCTGTGGCTGAGCTATACAGAGTGACACTGTTTTGGGTCCCCTTTCCCTCTTCAGCCCCACTCCTGTGCCAAGTGGATGCTGCTGTATAGGTGGGGCCGGCAGAGGGGGCGGGATTGGGGAGTGGAGCTCCACTGTGATGGGAAGACCTGATCTCTCTGAGTCTGATTCAGGCAAGGGAGCTGGACGGTCCATACTCTGATTTCCCTGCATTGCTGAGACTTGGGAAATGACATAGGAACCTTATACCCTGGCTCCCCCAGGTGCAGCAGGCATCAAGTCCTCAAGCACATTGAGATGAGAAAACCCCGGGTACTGTCAGGGTTGGCAGGAGGGGCCATGAGACCAACTGGCAGTGAAGGAGTTAACCACAACAGCTGGCTCTTCTCTGCAAGGAAAAACTCCCCCTAGATGTCTGGCCTCCTGCCAGCACCGAGCACTGAGCTGAAAACTGGAAGTTCACCCTTGTGGCCAGATCTGCTTCTGTAGAGAGCGCTTGAAGAGGGTAGCCGTCCTGCCACTGCCGTCTGTCCAGTTCTTCATAAACCCATCTGTCTGCTTGGCTGACCACTGTTCATCTGTAAACCTGTTTGTCTGCCTATCTGTAAGTCCATCTCTTTCCAAATGTCTCTCTGACCATCCTCTCTGTCGAGCTATCTAACCTGTATGTCAATCCATCTGTCTGTATCAAGCCCCACAATTTTTCTCTCTGTCCAATCATCTGTGAGTCTAGTTTTTATCCACCTGTCCTTTTTTGTCTGACCATTGGCTTATCTACCATCTGTCTCCCCTGTCTCCCTGGACCACTGAAACATGGCCCAGGGCCACAGGGCCACAGTCGGCTTGGTCCTGCTGGGACTGGGGCTGGCACTGACGATCATCGTTCTAGCTGTGGTCCTCTCTCGCCGCCATGCCCATTGTGGCCCCAAGGCCTTTGCCCATGCTGCTGTCGCTGCTGACTCTAAGGTCTGCTCAGACATTGGACGGTGAGTGAGAGGTGGGTAGGAACTGGGTGGCCTTGGGCATCTGATCCTTCCTGGAGACTTTGGTGGTAAAGTTGTGGAGAACGCACGTGTATGTACATGCTAGCTGGTGGAGTAAGAGCTGTGTGGTTTTGGGTTCCAGCACTGACCAGGCCTGGGTACAAGGAGGTAGCCCCAGGACTCTTGAACAGAATAGGTGGCAGATATGCCCCCATGGCAGATGGTGATCCACAGGGCAGTGCCAGTGGGGGCAGAGGTCATGTGTGAGTCCATTCCTGATTCTAGGGCTCAAGAGGTCCATCTATCATAATGCACAGGTTAGAAATAGAGACTAGGGGCTGGGGTTTGTGGCTCAGTGGTAGAGCACTTGCCTAGCATGTGTGAGGCACTGGGTTCAATCCTCAGCACCACATACACACAAAAAAATAAATAAATAAAATAAAGGTATTGTGTCCATCTACAACTAAAAAAAAAATAAATAAATAAAAAAGAAAGAAATAGAGACCCTAACAAGGTTTTCCTGCGTCACCCCTGGTATGGCCCAGCCTGACTCTGATGGTCTGTATTGGCTCCTTCAGCAAAGCTGTGCCAGTTGCCCAAGGGCTGGGGGATTTTACCAGGAACATAGGCGAGAGGGTACAGAGGCTCCGTTGTGGGTACTGCCCAGGGCTAGTCTCCCTGGTGGCTCAGGCTCCATCTCCAAGTCTCTCAGACTTAGACAATGCCCCCTGCAAGTGCCACGTCCCTCATGGCATCCCTCCGCGTGTCTGAGCCTGGCTAGGTGGGCAGAGTGACTGATATTTGGCAGGCCAGGACCAGGGTGGTGGTGGAGAGAGGCCACAGCTGGCTCTTCCTGATCTTCTTCCAGGAAACCCAGCCCACGGGAAGCTTCTGCTGCCTGCCACACCACCGTCACTGGGGCGGGACATGGCAGGAAACTCCTCCCGGCCCCCTGCCTCCCACTGAGCCCCTAGAAGCCTGGGCAAGCATTCCTTTCCCTCCGGCCAACGGCCAACGTGTCTGCTTCCCAGAATATCTGCCTCACAGGCCATTGTGAGGATTCAAAGTGCTTTGCCAACCCGTGGGCCAGTCCTGCTGTACGGGGGGCCGGTGGCAGGGCCCTGGCCCAGTCCCCTGGTTCCTGGCTTCTCCTCTGCCGTGCTTTCTTCTATTATTCATTCATCCACCTTTTCATTCAGTCCATCTTCTCTTCATCTGTCCATCTATCCATCCTTCCTAGCTCTAATCGCCTTAACTTACCGGTCCCTACTGGCTCCTGACTGGGTCCTCTGGGTCTCCTTACGCTTTCTGTTTCCTCCCACATCTGCTCCTAGGACAGCAGTGGCTGAGAGTGGCAGTTCAAGGACAAGTCAGGACAGGCAGCCACTTTGTCTCCCCAGGGTGTTCCCATGAGATACAAGGGATGAGGCCACTTGCCACCTCTAACAATGCCCCTGTCACATCAGGACAAGAAGAGATGTGGTACCTGCTTAAACCCAAAGTCACAAAGATATTAATGAGACTATGGACCTCAGACCCCAGAGATGACCATGTGGGCATGTTCCTGGGGTGGGGGGGGGGGGGCGCTGCTGTCACATATCTCAGAGTGGATTCTGGGCCCTTTGTGTTGGGAGTCGCCCCAGCTCCAAAGACTAACCTCCCCATCCCCGAGAAGAGCCGTCCAATGGTGAGTCCTGCTGACTCACATGTTCCTTACCCACCAATCAGAAAGCACCCCATGCCAGCTGCCAAAACCCTTAAACTGTTAAACTGTTTCAACCGTCAGACCATCCCCGGCTCTATAAATATGCAGAGCTGCCTCAATAAACGGGCATTTTCTCCGACGACAGCAAACCTTGATCGTTCTTTCACTTTGTATCTCCCAGTCTCTGCCTCCACACTCCACACTTTGGGGTCTCTTCTCTGAGCCTGCTTCCTTGCGGTCCCATCTCTCTCAGGCTTCCCCTTGGTGGAAAGGGCGGATGTGGTTTCTCCCCATTGTTTTGTTAACCAACTCTCTCTGCTTCCTGTTCTTGTTTTAAGAAGTTAGGAGTGGGAGGGAGCCTGGGGCTGGTTTTAGCTTGTGCTTCAGAACAGGGATCCGGTGACCCCAGCTAGGCTGGAGCCCTAGGTCTGTTTCTCAGGACCCCTGGCTGGGGCAAGTGCTTTGGTTGCTGTGAGTGTCCTCTAGTTGCTCACTTGAGTATGGTAAAGCTGGGGGCCTTGGAAAGGTAGGTACCTGCCCAAGATCTCTTCCTGTGTGGCACCTGGTCATCTTCTAGTGACTACCCTTAGCCCATGCTACTTCCTTCTTGTTCCCATTTCTCCCCACCATCTGCAGGAACTTGAGCTCCTGAGTGAAGGTTCTTCAGGTTTAGGTGAGGAGCTGGCCTCAAGCCCAGTAAACAACAATAGGAGCATGGTGACAGATCCCTTCCCCTCTAGGCTGTAGTCTCCCAGTGTTTCATCCCAATGTGTTAAGATTGCAAACTGAGTGTTGTGATGATCAGAATGTTTGTCTTCTTTTTATTTATTTTTAAAATTTTATTTTATTTTGTTGTAGTTGGACACAACACTTTTATTTATTTTTATGTGATGCCAAGGATGGAACCCAGAGCCTCGCACATGCTAGGCGAGCACTCTACCGATGCGCCCCAGTCCTAGTCCCAGCCCAAGTGTTTGTCTTCGAAGGAGACTTCCTGAATTTTAGGGCTAGGGATATCTTTCAGGTTTTGTGACTTCTGCCTGAGGTAGCTTCTCAGAAATTCTTGCACTCCTGTGGGATCCTCAGTGGGAGGACTTGCTTTTCTATTTGACTTAGGAGAAAATTAGGCCTGCCCAGGAGAAAGAACCTGCCTGGCACCAATAGTGAGCATGCCTAGCTGGAGCTGATATTGTTTTTTCTCTGCTATTGCCACTGCTGCTCCTGCAGGGGTAGAAACTTTCCAGGGCTGTGGGAGGGGTGAGGTCTTCCTAGAGTCCCCCACTCCCCACTTCCTAGAGTCCCTTGGACTCCCCTAGACTTGACTCATTGAGGCCAGAGCTGTACCATATTCAAGTGAGCAATTAGAGGGTACCCATAGCACCCCAGGGCACTTGCCCTTAGGACACAGAAGAGCCAGCTTCTGGGAGATTGGAATCTGGGCTGGCACTGGGGTGAGGGGGTGGGGCGTGACTGAGCCCAAGGGCTGGTTTTTGTCAACTGTTACATGGTGTCTGTGTGTCACCCTTGGTACAGGGGACAGCAGGGACATTGGAAAAGCTGCTGAACCTTGTGAGCCTCTCTTTCCTCCTCTGTAAAATGGGGCTTAGGTTGGCGCCTCCTCCATGGGGTGGTCTAAGCCCCCAGAGCATGAGGCCTGGGGCTCATCCACACATTGGAAGTGTCCCCTCCATGGCCACCACTCTAATAATCTTCACCATGGCTTGATCTGGACATGGGTCACCTTCTCAGAACCTGAGGGGGGATTAGGGTGTGGCCTCTACTCCCTTTCCCTCAGGACCATGGCCTTTTACCCTACCCCTTCCCCTCTTCCCAGCTGCAACCTGGGCCTGTGCCCCTCATGGCTCTCTGTACCCTGGGCCAGCTCACCAGGAAATTACTGAATTTCCTCCGCTCTGGGACTCTGCAGGAAATACCCTTTGTGCCCAAGGACTATGCACATGTGTGCAAATGTGTGAGTGAGAACACACGCATCTGAATGGATGTATCATAGCAGCTATGATGACAGTGGACTCCTAGCTCTGTAGAAACATGTAATTCTTCTATTGGGCAGAACTGCCCACATTTCACAGCTGAGGAAACCTTGGCTAAGAGAATGAGTTACCTATCCAGGCTCATGCAGCTGATGAATTAGGAACAGCAGCTCCCTGGGCACCCTGAGCCTGCAAGTGTGTTTGCTGTGATGCTGTGGACACATGAAGGTGTGTGCATCCCTCTCCACCTGCAATATGTAATATCCTCTTTTTTCCTCTATCAAGTATGTGAGGAATACCTACTTTCTGCCAGTCATGGCTTAGGAATGCAGTAGTAACCACAATGTACAAAGTCCCTGGCTTCATGGTTTGGAAGACACGCAATACACCAATCCATAACCAATGTCAGGGGATTGGAAATGATCATTGGTCATCTGGAGGTCCTCTTCCTTGAAGTTTCTGTCATAATCTTTTGTCCATTTTTTTTTTTTACCAGTTTGTACATCAAATGTATTTTCTGCATTATCTGGTTTTCTCTCTTTTAAAAAATGCAGTGTGCCATGGCACACACCTGTAATCCCAGCAGCTCAGGAGCCTAAGACAGGAGGATCACAAGTTCAAAGCCAGCCTCAGTAATGGCGAGGTGCTAAGCAACTCAGTGAGATCCTGTCTCTAAATAAAAAATGTAAAATAGGGTTGGGGATGTGGCCCAGTGGTCAAGTGCCCCTGAGTTTAAACAAGGGCTAGGGGACTGGAGTTGAGGCTCAGTGGGGAGTGCTTGCCTGGCATGTGTGAAGAACTGGATTCAATTCTCAGCACCACACATAAATAAATAAATAAAATAAGGTCCATCAACATCTTAAAAAAAAAAAAAGGGTGGGGGAACTGGGGATATGGCACAGTAGTTAAGTACCCCTGGGTTCAATTCACAATACAAAAAAATGCTAAGTATATTAAATCACACTTTGATTATTAAAGCAAACTCTACTTAGTGATTTAATATCGTTTTTACGTAACACAAAGTATAAAATGTGTTTTGCTAATTTTTTAGGAGTTTTGTCTCTATGTTCATGAGGGGTATTGGTCTGTAATTTTCCTTTCTTATATATATCAGTCAGCCTTTTGTTATGACACATACCTGAGAAAGACAACGTCGAGGAGGAAAGATGTATTTATGCTCATAGTTATCGAGGTTTCAGCCCATGGTTGACTATCTCATTGTTTGGGGCCTGAGGTGAAGCAGAACATCATGGTGGCGGGAGAGTGTGACCAAGGCAGCTGCTCAGTTCATGAAAGCCAAGAAGTGG